CGAGGTCTTCCTGAAACAGGGTCTCCGGGCCCACACTTCATTATTTTGAAGGTTTCGATGAGGTCACCCAGAGTCTTCTCTCCAGAGAAAAGAGTCAGTCAATCAGTCAGTCAGATTGCATAGCACAGGAGATGGCCACGGCCAATGGAGCCAATCGAGCGTGTAACAGTCAAAAAGACTGAAAATTTCTCTCAATCACCTTGCATTTCCTTATCTTTCTTCGCCATTCTATTGTGCATTATTTCCGACAGTGGTTTTCATGTCAGTGAATTTTCTCTTCTGAAGCTTCTATTTCACCTTTTTTACGGTGAAGCATATGCTTCCTATGGAACCGACTGTCAGAAGAGCTAATAGAACTACTTTTGGTTCAAACCTTCAAACTAACCCTAGATCGAAGGTGGGAAGAAGTCAATTCTGGGTTGAACAGTGATTTAGCTCTCCCATTAGTGCACCGGTACGCTCACGTCCGCTCTCGTCGTGCAGGTGAAGTGAGTTGTCCTCTCCTTTACTTTTTAGCAGGAGTACTGACGTATTACTTGATACAGTGCTGGGTGCCCGACCTGTGCATACAACCGAAAGAACTGTGGACGCTCGGTTGCCGTGACCGTTTCCTATCCTGTGCAAACTGGACTGAACATTAACATCATCACCAACAGGACACAGTCACAACGAAGAAGGCCCAGAGCCCACCCCAGTAGGACGGATGATAATGTCCACAGCTGCTCGAGAGGACAGGGCGGATGATGTACCTACTCAGTTGTAGACTGGTAAGGAATTGTGGTTTACGGTGGCTGGTAGGGCCAGTGTAGCCGTCGTCCCCTATGTGATGCCTCAGCGACTGAGGGCCAAGAGTATACCGGCGACAAAAAACGAAGAGAACACTCGAGCGGGTTGCCCGAGTGCGCCTTAAACACTAGTGGCACCAATTCGAGGAGGGGGGCTTGGGCTGGACGTTATCGGCCTTCTACACGAACGCCTGCAGCCTAGGCAACAAATGGAGAGAACGAAGGGCGGAAACCGTTGGAACAGACTGTATTGTGATTGCCCAGACATGCCTACACGAGGCCATCACAAACGGAGAGCCCGAAACCCACCGGGTACTGCGCGTACATATCTGACATTGGAGACGGTAGGGGTGGAGGTGGCGTATTGTTCCTTGTGTCGGACACCCTGGATCAGTCTGGGGATGAACACATGTCCACGCCGAATATCCAGCCCCGCCCATGCAACATACAATCCCCGAACTGTATAGTGTCTGTGGTACGTATCTACGGGGCACCAATTTCAGATGAGGAGGAGGATGGCCAACCGTGCGAATATCTGACCAGGGTAAACAACCACGAGGAGCGGATGGTCATCATGGGACATTTCAACTCTCGAGAAGTAGACTGCGATAGCCTGTTGGCCCCTCTCTAGATTTGGTAGAAAACTAGTGGACCTGATGTCAATGCTACCCCTGGTGCAGCACGTTAAACAACCCACTAGATGGTGGGAGGGGCAAAGGACCATGATGTTGGACCTAGTTCTGACCAAGATACCGCATTATGGGGAACAGCTCGGGGTTTCCGCTCCTCTGGGCGAAGCGATCATGGAGTACTTAGGTTCCACATCAGGGTAATCCCTCCCCGGTTCCACACAAGTTTAACGTGGGACTATAAAAAGCTGGATGTAGCGGCGCTTGGGCAACCAGCAGAGGCAATCCAGTGGTCAACAGACTGCATCCTCTCCGTGGAGCAGGAGTGGCAGACATTCAAGGACAGTGCATTGCATGTTGAATTTTTGAAAATCTTTCCAAACTCATGATGATTTATGGTGACATAACTCTATGTGTGTGTTGCTTCTCTATTGACTTTTCTCAATCACAAACACCATACATTATTTTTTATCTGTTAATTCGATGCCCGGCACATTTGAATTTTGCGTGGTCAGATAACGTAAGCGACTGTTTGCCTCTCTCTGGACATCATATTTGGCTCACTTGCTTGAGTGCTTTTGACCGCATATTTGAGGTTCACTTTATTGTACATTTGTAATGATTTCCCTAATTCAGTACCGTAGAACATTACGGATCAATCGTGTTCTATTCCGGGATTTGTATCTGTTTTGGCTAGGCGTCACTCAAGTGCGAATTGATTGACGCACAGACGGTATCACCCGGCTCATGGACGTTTTTGCTCCTCTACGAATGGTCATAAGATGGGGCCGGCCGCCTTGGTGGACAAAAAAAGGTAGTCAGGACAAAAGCCATAAAGCAGAAGGCATGGGCCTGCCTCAGGTGCAGGGGTGGCCATAGACAGCACTTGCATTATCGGGTGGCGAGAGAAAGGGCACTTAGGATTCAGAGACACTGCCAAAGGGAATATGAGAGTAGGATTGCTCGCAATGCCAAACAGCGACCAAACGTCTACTACAACTATGTGCTGTCTAAGGCCCACATTCGGGCAGCGGTCGGTAATGTTGTAAATGCAGATGGTGTTAGTTCGGCCACCAGCAAATTGAAGGCTGAAGTTCTAAAGGGCCTCTTCGAGAAAGTCCACATACCGGACTTGGGAAAGCCATTGCCTGAGCTCCTGGGAAGGCTCCCCGAGAAGCACATGGCTCCGTTTGTTTTAGAGTCAAAGGAGGTAGAAGCAGCACTGAAACAGTTAGATCAGAACAAGGCCGCGGCCCCGGATGAGCTGCATCCAGCAATTCTGCGGCCCATTGCTGACATCATTGCAGATGCACTGGATCAGCTTTTCAACCCATCGCTTGCCTCAGCAACGCTGCCGGCCGTCTGGACCACAGCAGAAGTGGTGTCAATTCACAAGGGTGGGTCAAGGGCGGCTGCATCGAATTATCGTCCAGTAAGCCTGCTTTCGGTAATCCTGAAAACCTACGAACGTCTCCTTAGGGGGAGGTTGGTGGGATACTTGGACGACTAAAACCTCATAGCTGGCCAACAACACGGCTTTGTCAACAGAAAGTCGTGTCTCAATAACCGGCTATCATTTCTGGACGATGTGAAAGAAAGGTTGAACGCAGGGGATAGCGTCGAAGTTTGCTACCTTGATTTCAGAAAAGCCTTCGACTCGGTCAACCACAGGTTCCTCCTGCGCAAACTGGAAGCCCTGTGGGTAGACCAGCAGTCAGTGAGGTGGATCGAAGCGTACCTACACGAGAGGACGTTCCGTGTGAGGGTGGAACAGGAAACCTCGGAGACGGCAGCAGCCTGTAGTAGGGTACCTCAAAACTCATTCCTTAGTCCCATACTATTTCTGCTGTATGTTAATGACGTAACCGAGGTCTTCCAGTGCCCCGGGTTCCTATTCGCGCATGACCTCAAAGTAGTAGGGAATCCATCATCGCGGGACTTACAGGATGCATCAAACGAAATTCATGACTGGGCGGACACATGGGAGCTACCTCCCAACGCCAGCAAATGCAAGCACCTGCTGCTGAACAGAGGGTCGGCGTAGGTGCGTCAACTAGGCACTTGGTCGACGGACGCTATAGAATCTATCGACGCAGTCAAGGATCTAGGAGTGAAGATACACTCATCGTTTACACCCTCAATGCAATGCGCGGCAGCCGCAGCGAAGGCTAATAGAGCCTTATTCCAACTCTGCCGAACGGTAATATCGAGGGAGACTAAAGTACTCTTGCCATTGTACAAGGCGTTTGTGCGACTACATCTAGAGTACTGTGTCCCGGCGTGGGTCCCTCTCCTATTAAGGGATAAACGACTGCTTGAGGCAGTGCAAAGAAGGTTCACCCGGATGATCAGTGGACTGCAGGATAAGTTATACAAAGAAATGCTGGTGGCCCTTGACTTATTCTCAGTGCACCGCCGTCGCCTGATGGGTGATTTGATTGAGACGTTCAAACAGCTTCCATCTACAGTAGTAGCAGGAACTAGTGTTCTGCAATTCAAATGGAGACCAGACATCTGCTGGGACGAGGTGTTTCCAGAATCTGACTAGCATAAGTCGCAGTCACTACCCACATCCCCGTTTTGTAGCCGTTGTCTATTTTACCATCACTCTTTTACATCACACACCTCACGCACAATTACCACAACATCTTTTTTTATCAGCCCCCGGGAAGCTCTCACGGAAGGAGTAGCAGTCCACTGAAGTGCGGCGACTGTCAAGTGATTGAGACTGCTATTTCCTTGAGGGCAATCCTGTTCTTCATCTCTTCTCTTGTAGGTATAACACCCAACACACTACTGTGGAACTACCTGGCAGCCGTAACACAATGGGAACCACCAGCTCACAAGTGCAAGAACCGGGACGTCCACTGACCGAAGCCTAAAGTCCTGTGACCTGACCTGACCTGACCTGAACCCAACTGAACTAACTAGAGGAAGGTGTTTTCTGGTAGGTATTTTCTGTGAATCTACCAGGTGCCAACATTTTACATTTTATGACAATTCCGCCAGGTGTCAATGGTCAGGATCAGGGTCATTCATACCAACCTATGGTAGCTTGCCCCAGGCCTAGACCGCTGAGTCTCATCTGTCTATTTTCAGAAACTCTTCAGCTGGGAACGTATACTGAGGACAGAGACAACTAGACCCACCAATGGTCGATCGCTAGAATCGGCAATACGCGGTGTTGGAAGCTACAAAAACCCACCAAAAACACAACAATCTGGACGCTCGATTGGCTGGAAGCCACATTTCGTCCTGTGCATACTAAACTGAACTAACTGTTTTGAGTGCTCGCTCTGATAATTCGTTTTTTTAAATCTAAAAGTGTACTTTTTCAAAGTATCTCTTTGCTTTATTTGCTACTATTCCTTTTTCTGACACACTTGGTATCACGTCTCTGGTCGCGGCCCTTAGTGTCTTGATTGGTCAAAAATTCGTGCGTAAAACTGTTACTCACTGTACTGTATCTCTCTGCTGTATCTCCCACTTAGTACTTTTTCGTATTTTTCATATATAACTGCTATATCACAACTTTCTATTAAAATGATAGCAGAAAATAACGATAGCATCTCAATCCAGGATGTATCTCTGGACGAGGAAACTTTACCCATGCGTCTTGACAACACGGTAATCAACACCTCCCCAGTGATACAAAACAGGATAATCATATCCCAGAGCGATGCAATCCTAAGCCCAAGACGAACGTTGCCAAACTGGAGGCTGAGTTGGTAGAGGTGAAGGCACTACTTGTGGGTCTCTCTCCCCAGTTCGAAGCCAGTAAAATAACCCTCAAGATATCAGACCAAATCATCTTGAACACCGCCAATAAGCTGTCTGAGACAGAAGCATGCAGCAAACGCATGATAATTTGGGGGAAGTTTCCAGGAGAAACACCCGCAGCTTATAGGGTCAAGATAATCCTGGATAGCCTCAAGTCACTGGAGATTCTGAACCCAGTCTGGTGTTCATATCTTCGAAAAGAAACCAAGAAAACAATCACAGGTATCGTGGTCGAATTCAGCCAGAGTGCAACAGTATGACACTGTCTTGCTCAGGCGAATATAATCATGAGATATAAATATGTCACTGGGGTAGCCCGCTACATTCTCTCCATGTCAGAAAATCTAACAAAACCCTGGTGGCCTAAAAATAGATGAGAAACTGCAAATGTGTGCGACAGTCAATGTCAGGCGACTGGATATTGAGAAGGTACCACAAATCTCCTTTCCCAAAAAGGACGAGAATCTACTTTTGGCCCCACTAGTCGCCAGCACTCCCAAAGCAGGCTTCGCCGACATAACTACGAATGAACCAACCATAGTCGGAATCCTCAACTGCAAGTAATTATTACTTATGAAACCAGCCCAAGCTCCAGCAAAGGAGGTCAAAGGCCCAATCAAGATGCCCACTTTTCGATCAATAGCTGGGATGAAGGGGATACTTAGTAATCCACCCCCTAAGGCACTTCCCTCAGCTCATACCCCGGCGCAACCGAAATCTTATTTTTCTAAAACTAAAAACCTAAGAAACAATCTCTCTGCGCCAAATTCCGAATTGTTGGCAAGTGTCGCCAGGTCGTTCCCAGATCGAACGTCAAGACAGGACGCTCACGTCTAACAATTCACTCGCCAACTTGGTGAGATGAGATCCTATTTCTCATTTTCATTTCAGCAGTGCTGAGTGTCCATTCAGTGAGCATACCATTGAAGGAATTCTGGACGCTCGATTGGCCGTGGCCATATTCAGTCCTGTGCAACCTGACCTGACCTGACCTTGGCGGTACGTTCGAACTGGTTGCGTGAATCTTGCTCTCTGGTTATCTCGTAAAATTTGAAGGTTTTACTGTGTGAAACCAACTGTGTTGCGGTTTCACTTCCGTATTATACTTCTATAAGTGTGGTTATACGGTTTTTGCACTGTTTTCCGGTGTTTATCATTTTTTTTCGAAAAGGTTTTAGCCATTTCGAATTTCTGTTTGCACGAAATTTGAATTATTTCAGATTTTGCACGTGTTCAGGTATACTTTGAGATCCACTCCCTGTCGCTCTCAACCGTGCTATCTATATTACGATGCCTAGAGCCGCCTTTCCATGCTTGAATGAGCATTGCGGAAAGCGGGTAGTAAAAGGCATAGAATGCGAGGTTTGCGGGAGATGGGCTCATGCAAATTGCTCTGGGATTACACCAGAACGATATGCTCTGTATTGCAAAGACCCAGGATTACAGTGGGTATGCAGATCTTGCCTAAACATTGCAAAAGAAGCGGTGCTTAAGACGGTTGCCAAGGGGGTACCTGCAGAGATAGCCTCGGTTATCAGCCCCGCCAAAGGGAGCAAGAAACCGAAACCGAATCCGCCGAAAACGTACGCGGATGCAGCGAAAGCCAATGCGGACCCCACAAATCGGGGTTGCAAGGTGACTAGCAAAGGGAAGACAGCACTCGGTTCTGCTGTACCGCAAGTAGTCAGGACGCCCACTGCCAAAGCCACTAGGGTTGAGCCTTTTGGCAAAGGCACGAGTAAACCCATTAGGGTAAGGGAAAACATCCTTGATGACCTAGAAGGTCAATTAAAGATGATCAGTGATCGACTTAGATCACTGAAAGCCAACAGTGGCGGCCCAACTGGGTTTCATAGAACCCTTTTGATTCTTAACAACGAAGAGCCGTTGGTTAAGGAAACGAAAGCCCGCCGGGATATGGACAGAAGAAGAGTGCTAGATATCCTAAGGATAGCTGGCATGGAGAGGTGTATACCCAAGAGGGTCCATAGAGTAGGTGCCTGGAGGACGCCAACTAATGGTGAACCCCGAGCGGCTAGGCCGCTTTTAGTGGAATTCGCCGAACAAT